TTTTCTTAGTACGTGTAAAGTCCTGGATTCCATTCCTGCATAAAATCAGATATAATAGGAAGTGCCATGTATAATGCTAGAACTGGGTAGGTGGAAGCAGAAAGTTCATAATAAAATTCAAAATATATTCAGCTAAATAATAAATTAAAAATCAGCATGAGATAAATGAGACCTACTCCCCAAAACAAAATGAAACAGAAAACAGATAAAATTTGAAGACAAAAAGAATCTTCAATAATTTTTGATACGTAAATTAGGGTATGAGATAAATAAGTGAAATAGTAGCTACTAAAGTTTCTATGACAAAAACGAAAAATAAACACCAGCATTAATGGCACAAAATCCTAATGAACAGTAGAAAAAATTTAAATTATGCAAAAATATATTTTAAGAGTCACTCTGGAAGAAAGCATGATACTGATGGAGGTGGGGCCTGTTTAGTCTTATGCCTTCTTATTCACATAGTCACTGAAACAGCTTTCCTAAGACAATGGAAGCCTTCCATGTCAGGCCTAATAGCAAGGGAAACAGCCTAAGACCAAATGAGGCCCCCTGAATATGAGTAAAAGTTGTTTGACTATGTAATGCATGCATGTCCTATTATTAGGCATATGTTTAAAATACAGCTTACTTCTGTCAAGAATATTTCTCGTTTAATACTTTCTGTAACTTTAATTCCTTACATGACTTAAGCATGAATGAAAAATAATTTTCATTTTTAAAGTGAAAAAGTACCAGATTATTTCCAAATATAGCATCTACGCACATTGCTTCTCTCACAGCACACTAGAATGCTAAAGAGAAAGTAGTTGAGAAAATTTTCTATGATGGCATGGGAGTCGTAATCTAAAGTATAATAACCATGCTATCGAATTTATTTGCTATATTTTAGACAAACTTAATTCTAATATAACAAAGAGTATTGTGATGAGATAAATGTTAATAATAAAATATATAAAAGTGAGTAAAATATGTCCTGAATAAAAGCTAATAATGAAATCTTGGTGTGTGATTCATCATGAGAGCAAGAATTAAATAAATATCTAAAGCTCTTTGTTTACTCTCAGAATACATTTGATAGAGTAGTGGATGCAAGAATGAAAGAGATAATATTAAGAATATTTATAGCAACAAAATGGGAGGTATGAGGTGGAAAGTGCAAAGTTAATAGATGCTAAATAACCAGCAAGTCTCCTATAAAGAAATATATTTTAATGAGTGAGAAATTAAAAGGAAAACAAGTATCTTTATAGCTATTTACTTGAGGGTCAAATAGAGATCATAATTAAAATACTAATACAGCCACTAAGATTTAACCAAGGTGGTTTTTTTTTTCAGAAGTATGCACTGCTGAAGTATTAACATAGCTAACTTCTACACACCCACAATCAATCTGCATGGAAGTACTGACCTCTTGCTTCATCCACAACATGCAAGGCCAATATTGAACAGTAAATAGCTCTGCAGCAGGAGATTGCCGCAAGTGTTTGTATGTGCAGGGTCCAGCACTGTGACTAGAAGCTGTGTGCAACTACATTTCCACACAGAATCCTATTTAAGTCAATACCTAAATCAAATATCATGTGCTAGAATGAAAGTGACTAAAATATTTCAGTGACTGCTGGTTTTAATTGTCAACTAGACCCAGTTTGCACAGAGTCTCAGTGAGAGTCAGGGAAGATCAGTCTCTCCTCTGAGCACAATTGGGGGAAATTATCTAAAGTGTCTCAGTTGATGTGGGAAGAGCCAGTCTCAGCTTGCACAGCGCCATTCGGAAAGTTCAGGACCTTGAATTTTATGAGAGTAGAGAAATCTAGTTGAGAAAATGCCTGCATTCCTTTCTCTCTTCTCTCTACTGTGATGGGAAGAGCTGCTTCATTTTCTGATTTTCTTGACTCACCAGCTATAAAGGACTGTAACCTAAAATTGCAAGCTGAAAGAAACCCCGTCTATTCTAAGCCGCCTTTTGTCAAGGTATTTTATCACCAAAACAAAAACAGAAATAAGGTAGTCCCCAATTTGATAGGGTTATCTTCATTAAGAAGCCGTTTTGCTAGTGGTGATCTATTTTGTTGGGTAATACATAAATACATATTCATATGACTAATGTGTTCAATGTCTTTCAAAATCAATCACTTTCAGGAAATGGACTCCAAATTGAATGTCACAAACATAAAGACCATAACCATAGTTAATTATCTAAATTAAACATATTTCTCTCACCCGTGTTTGAGACAGACAGAAGTGCTAAACTCTTATTTCTCCAAGCACAAGAAAGATGATAAATGACAACTGATCCTCAGGATTAGTGTCAGAGACACAATCATAGGAGTTTAATTAATCATAGGAGGGTAATACTAGGCTCTCGTGCCTCTTATATACAGATGTTTCTACTCAGCGCCCTTGGGTGCAGACTAGAAGAAAGGCTGAAGCGTTGCGCCAAGAGTTTTCGATAGCCACAAGTGCCAAATTTTGTTTTAGGTGTCTCATTTCAAAATTGGTGATTTAATGCAAATATGAACCACTAAATCTAAGCAAACAGAAAACATTTAGAAACACTCTTGGCACATAGGTTCCTACATCATGGTCTCTTGCTTAAAAACTTGGTCACTGCATTGGTACAGACAGCTGAAATGATAAATGCTTTCAAAGAACTTTACTGATTAAAGAAAACTAAGTAATCCCAAACTTCTGTTTATATACCTCTTTCTTTTTACAACTAGAAATACTAGGACCAATGCATAGTACAGTCAGAATAATATAGTGTGGTATAGTATTGACATTATACATTTTATTATTACTATGATTGAGTTTAGGTCACAAGCTCAAATTGGCACACTATGATTGCAATTGCATACTTGTATTACTGAGTGATGATGAGTCAATTATAGTGACTACAAAGTTTTGTCATAAGAGACATTTTAAATTAAGCATTCTTCTTCAAACAACTAAAACCTCAAATCGACTTTGATCTCTTTTAAGTATTCAGAGTTCTGTTCATCAAGTGGGGAAAAGATCTTTCTTCTGTACATAGAATAATTTATCTGTTTGCATGAGTGTGACAAAAAAATGGTCGCATCTCTGAGTAATAAATGAGAAACACAAAGTTCACAGCGCAGCTCTGCTGATGAAAATTACCTGCCTGCTGACACAACAGTGCTCATGAATTAATTAACCTTTTGCCATAAAAATCTCCAACCTTCAGCAGATGCTGAGGTTTCTCCATTTTTCCATTACTTTAGAAAATAAAATAATGTTCAGTAAGTAAAAAAAAAGAAATAAATTGGATTGGTTCTCATAGTATTTCACCAAAATTACACAAAGTGTGGCTAAAATACGATGTGTTGAATGACTCAAATTTTATTTTAGTTTGCAAAATATGAGGATAATGACTGCTTCCATAGTCACTTTTTTCTTTAATGAATGAGATCAGTTCATCATTACTAGTAGCATTGGCTTCCTTAGTTTTTACCTTTCTAATTGTGATAATAAAGTTAAATACTTTCACAAATGTACTTTCAGTAAGCTTTGAAAAAAACATATTTACACAAACGTCATTTTCAATTGAATAAATACATTAAGAGTATTTAGGTGTCTGTGAAGTGTTTTGATCGTTTTCACTTGGGACCAAAACTTTAAAATTATCTGAGTTAAATAAAACTAGAATATGGGACGAGAGGATTGTTAATAAATCAGAGTTGTTATGTTTTCTCAATTTTAATGCAACAGACAAAAAAGAAGAGTAGATGTGAGCATTATAAAGCCAGATGATAGATTATTCTCAACAGTGAAAGGTCTTTATGCAAATATCACAGGCCACACTTAATTTTTTCTCGCTTTGATAGTATATCTCTTAAAAACTGTTAACACTATTTACTATTTAATTTTTCAGCAACATATAATTAGAGCTGTCTCTTCTACCACACATTTTTTTTGTTTGTTTGAGACAGCCTTGACTGTCCTGGAACTAGCTCTTGTACACCAGGCTGGCCTTTAACTCACAAAGATCTGCCTGTCTCTGCTTCCCAAGTGCATTAAAGGTGTGTGCCGTCACTGCCTGGCTCTACCACCCAACTTTTTATTTTAATTTAAGGCATCATATAATTAGGAAGTAATCTCAACCCCAACACAAGGCCATTTTTAGAACAGGGCTTATACGTATGCTATTTATTAAGATTATAATATTTTCCTTTTTTTCTCAAGAAAAAAAAAGTGATTTGTTAAATTCATTTTTAAAGAGGTGATCTAGTCTACCACTGCTCTAAATATTTTTAGACAATCAATATTTGAATGCAGACAAGAGACCTAAAGTAGGATAGAGATATTTTGATGTTACTTAATGATTAATTTTGTAGAAAATTGTAATAGATATACATTTCAAAAATACGAGTAAGATGTATTTTCCTGACAAATATTCCAGATTCAGTAGTTGTTTAGCTTGGAACAAAAAAGCCTCTTTTAACATCTGTTAACTCGTGGTATTTTTTTTCCACTTGACTATTTTATGATTATAAAGGAAGATAGTTTTTAAGGGATTAATTTAGAATAATTACCAAAGCATTTTGGTCATTTCATGTTTGAGAATACTTCTATTATAATATGCATTTTATATTTACTTGAAATATCAAGACATTCAGAAATCATATAGAAGTTTCATTTGAGTATGGGAAACTACGGTATAAGACAAAGACCAGACTTGCTGTCTTTATTTTACAAAGCACCTGGACTGAGACAATGATAGATTCAGTTCCCTGACAGTATTCCAGACCCCTAGGGCATCTAAACACACCTAGCATTTATAGGAACACACAACTTTGCCCGTGATAATTTTAACCATATTCAGTATTATCACTCATTCTTATATGATTATATAAAGGGTAAACATGTACATTAATAATAAATATTTCTAAGGATCTTTAAACACTGAGACCAGATTTATAATGTCCTTTGGTTAAAAGAAGAATAAAAATATGACTAGTCGGGAAGTAATATCAACATACCTGACAGGTAATGTTCTGTCTCCTTTCCTTCGATCCATTTCTCTTTGAGGAACAGGATACCATCTGAAGTTTAGTTTCCAGTTAAAACCACCATAAGTCATGTCTGACCCAGCCATGTATTCGAAGGTATCATCGCTAATAACATCAATGATGGGACACACAACTGTTTTCCTATAGAAAATAAAAACCAATTCATATATAAATAATAAGTTACATTAGCTTCTTCAATTGGTTTTAGATGATATGATCACACTTAATCATTTTTATGACTTTACCATGTCTTTAATTTTATTTTATACTTTTTTTCTGCAGAAATATTTCCTCCAACATCACCTTTTCCCCTCACTTTTTCCTCAAAGCTGTGATGTGAAATCTAGTCAAATATTTGAATTGACCTTCAAGCTGACTTTAAAATGCATCCTTAGGACTAACGCAGCAGGGTGAACACGGTCTATTTCTCATAAACTTCCACCCAGAGAATGGTTAGTCGAATTGCTCTGATACTATGCATCATTTTAGCTATAACCCACTGAGAAGCCATAGCATAAAAAGATAGAAATGGATGATAGAATATTAAATCTGGAAGTTTGCATATTAAATATATTGAGTTTAAAGAGTACAGGAAAACTTGACACAGAGATATTTCCTTTTAGGAAGAACAAACAACATCAATTAAAATCCTGATCTATAGGTACCAGTAAACAATTTCAGTAAAGGGCACAAGGCCAGTGACAACTTTTTCAGCAAGCTGTCGGAAAACTAAGAGTCTATCATTGTCTCAATCCAGGTACTTTACTAAAGACAGGAGCTCTTTGAAGTCTAGCCTACTTTCCTCTAGTAAAAGAATAGTCAAGATGTTTATGGTTCTTGTGAGCTTATTTAGGGTAAGAATGTTCCACTTAGTTATTTTCCTGAGTACACAATTTTATCTACGTCATGGCTTCTCTTATATTTTGGCTTCTTGTGGCTTTATCAGTTTACTACAAAACTAGGAGTTAAAGTTTACTTGAAGTGGCATTAATTGTAGCTAATTCTGCAGAACAGAGTGATTGTATGCATTCTAAGTCACCCATAGGTGAGGAAAGCCAAACAGGACTTCAATTACATCTTTTTTGCAATGTTACCATCACCCATTGTCATGTAATTCTCATGTGCCACACAATTGGCAATGGCCTGAAGTTCTCTGAAATCAGTAAGCTTTATTTACCCTTGGAAAGGCTTCTTGGTGAATCTGGACTAAACCAAATCATGGTGTTTCTTTATTTCTTGAATTTAATAATTAACTTTTAAGGGGAAAAAGAAATCAGATCTAATAGTCTCAATCATATTTTACTGTCTTGTTATGACAATTTGAAAACCAGAAATAAGACTCATTGTGTACAAATATAATGCATATAAATTGTTAGCAAAAAGATGGTTTATTCAGAGCTATAATGAAACACTATAATAACGATGTATTATATTAAATATAAAATGCATGTTTAAAAGAACAGTATAATGTACAAAAAATCCAGAAAACACATTGAAGAGAGCCTAAGTACATTTTGCTTGGTCAGTCTCAGTGTTGTGTGGGCACAGCACAGCACAGCACAGCACACAAAATGCTGCTAGTCATGTACTGTGCTCTGTGGACTAAAGGGTTCCCACTGCCTTCTTGAACTACTGGGATTCATTTTACTGACAAGCTCCATCTATCTTCAGGGAAAGCACCAGCTCCTGCCATTTATGTGATGAGGCTGAACTAACTTATACAAAGCAGCAGTAGTTTGGAGTGTCTAATTAAACATTTCGATTCTGGGATCCTCTACTGCACATGACATGGCTGTGCGAGCGAGGTGTTCTACAATGCTTTATCATAATAGATAGCACTCATTGCTTGTTATCTTCATTAGGTACTAAGAATTACACTAATTTATCACCCATGTTTATGAATAGCTACAAAATGTCATCATCATTAGGAAGAGCTAAGGTATGCGTGAAGGGTTTTCGCTTCACAAAGTTTAATTTTTAAAATTCTTAAAACTGACAGGTAGAAAGACTATTGTTGAAATAATTATACTGTGCTCTACTCTTTTTTTTAACAGTGTATTATTTTAGGAAGGCGCACGTGCATGTGTGTGTGTGTGTGTGTGTGTGTGTGTTCGCGAGAGCATCGTGGAGAAGTTGAACTAGACTGTGACCGAGGGCACTGGAACCGTGAAGAGAACACTGCTGAGGGAGTAGGAAGAACTAAAGTATTCACTGAACTTCCAGTAACATAAGCAAGTTTGTAAGAACATCAGCAATCACTGCACGGGGAGCTGGGAGAACCACAGGTGCTTTGAAAATTGCCTACAACATATGCTGTCAGACTGGATTAATTTATTTCGCCTATAAATGCTCAAACCATTTTTCATCGACTCATTTGATTATTTTTTAAAACAATTACCGTGCTCAACATAACTCAGTCCTATTTTCATCTTAAAAAATGAGAAAAGCCACCTTTTTCAAAGCATATGAAATAAACCTTCCGAAAATAGAACCTTGGTCAAGGCATTGTGATAGACAGCTGGAGTTGCCCTCAAAGGTTCAGGTGTACGCTTTGCAGACTTAACACCAGACTCCCTACCTGTCTTCCTTTATTCTCGCCAGCAAGGGCTCCAGCCATCCTAAGGTGCACTCGCAGTGTGCATCCAGAAAAGTTATGACCTGTCCTTTTGAAGCAGCTGCTCCTCGGAGACGGGCACGTATCAACCCAGAGCGCTCTTCCATTCTGATAATTTTTACTGGCACTTCTAAAGTTTTCACATAGTTCTCTAATGTCAACTTGAGAAAATCTGTAACATGGAACAAGAATGGATGAGGCAAATTTGGAGCTGTTTCAGAACAGAATGGCGATACTCTTAGGAAGAAAATTCAGCTGAGGGGCAGCCCTCAGCTCATACATTCAGATATCATATACATATGCAATTTCATATGTAGAGTTTAAAGTGAAATAAACTAGTAGATATTCCATCAGTTAATTAATGCCACATATCAAATCATATAAATTCTCAGTATTAACTAGTCAGGGAAAACAAAACATTTTAAAATACCATTTTCATTTATTTCTGATGATGGGAACAAATTGGATATAACAACAAGCAAAGCATTTAATTGTTCTCAGAAATGAATCTGCATAAACAATGTATACAATGAATGAAATGCATATATGAAAATACAGTATGTATCAATTTGATAGGTGATTGATTATAAAGCAGAATATAGATCATTGCCCAGCTACCTTCCAACCATAGACATGGTTCTAAATTACAGGCACGGAAAGCAGAGTCTATACCTCTTTCACTGGCATCGTCGACCAAGATGACCTCAGAGAGCAGGTAGTGTGGAGAGCGATTTATGACACTGTAGACAGTCCTAAGTAGAGTGCTCCAAGCTTCATTATGGAACACAATGACTACACTTGTGTTCGGAAGTTCGTCAGGGTAGACTTTTGTCTTGCATCTGGGAAAGAGCAAAGAAAAAAGAGGGATGATAATAAATTCATATTTCAACCTGATCTTCCTCAGTAGGGATATTCATCATACAACAACTTCAGACTTCAAAGTCCTTTTACCAAAGAGCTGATTTATGAATATCTGGAATAATTTCCCTCTTTATAAGTGCTGTGAGTAATCACTTGGCCTTTTGAAAGTTAAATATGCATAATTACCAATATTTTATTTTAACTCCTGCAGGGAACAAGGCAGCATAATTTCCAAAATTCTAAGGAAACCAAAATAATATTCTCAAACTGTCAAAAATTTGGAGCACCAAATACCATAGGAGATAAATTCAATTATTAGAAACAAGTTTTATTCTTTGTTTTACCAAAAAGGAAACTAAACTCAAAAAACTATACTAGTATCAATAGACAACTATATGTACAATTTTAAAGCATGTAAGTCTGAGATTATTTTTTCACTTTGGTATTTCTAATACATAAACTTTTTAGTGCACTTGAGAATGTCCTGAACTATAACTACTCTCAAAGGAGCTTTAGGACGGTGGCTTCTACAATGTCTTGTTATTCTAGGCATAATTAAAATAATTTGGTTACCTGTACTTCCTGAACTTTACTGCTACAAACATCCCTGATGGGTTTGTTAAAACACAGATCTAATTTGCTAAGACTAGGATGGAACTTTTGAATCTGTAGCTATTGGTGTCATGTATTTTTAAAACTTTGGGTATGAGTTATCAAAATGTCAGAGGACTTCTGGAGCAAGAGTAGAAGTTTACTCACCATAAGCTATTTTTAAAGTAGAATATTCTAAAGAAGTAGAAAATTAAAATAGATTTATGAAATAAAATTAATCAGAATTCTCCTGCCGTATTTAATAACATATTACACTATGCGATATTGTTAGAATTGTCTTTTTAACAGGAAGTAAAAGATATTCAATTAAATGTAGGAGGTGGAGTCATACATTGAAATCAAACTGGGTGTGCCTATGGAGACCTTCCTCCTTTAAAAGAATCTAAAGTGTCACCCAATAAGTAAAATCTTTGAAAATACAATCAGGCAAGAATATCCATATACATCTTGTCTAACATTTTTATCAAGGATATATTTGAAAATGAACATTCAATGGGCTCTGCATTATAAAAAATACTGTGCAGAGAAGAAAAAAGTAGCGATAGGTCCCTAGATCTTTCCATTTTTTGGAAACGTTCCAACAGCATCCTTGTGTCTTATCATCTTTTCACAGCTACCTCCAGTCAGTCATTACTAAATGAACTGAGAAGGCCATCTCAGTAAATGAGAAGGGTTCTCCACTGTTTTCTTCAATCCTATACTCTCTGCCTCAACAAACCCTCTCATCACCTTTAGCATGCCAGGCACAAAATATGACAATGTAATCATTAGCATCACTAAAGCACATTTATGTAAACCATGTGGAGAGAGCCCAACACTCAACAGCCTCTGACGTAAACCATGACTCACATTCAATATATGCTACAAAGTGTCAGGGTTTTTGTTTGTTTGTTTTGAGTGAATTGTTTTAAATCAGGATTTTCTGTTTAAAAATTTAAATCCCAACTAAGAAAATGTGGAATAGCACACAGTAATCTTAAAAAAATAAAACCAGCTGAAGATGTTAGATACTGCTTATTAACACAGCATAGATGAGGCAGAGATTACCCTGAGTGGGAGGATATCCTGGGCTAACTACACAGTAGCATCCAGACCATCCTGGCCTGCACAGTGAAATAAATCCTGTCTCAAACAACAATAAAGAAAAAGTAAAATTTAAAATAGACACGCACCGCCTTTTTTTAAGTTTAAACTATTTTCATTAACTTTATTTTGTGATTGAAAAACAATCACCAATGTTAATTCCAGACTCATTATATCTATTTTGTACACAATGAACCAACTTAATTTTAATGCAGATACTAAATTAACAGATAATCACCAGTGTCTCATTCACATCCATAAACAACAACAACATCAAAATGACAGGAATTTAACAATCATTGTTCATTGATATCTTTCAATATCAATGGCCTCCGTTCCCTGGAAAAAGACATGAATTAACAGAATGGATTTGAAAACCAGACCCAATCTTTGATGGCATACCGAAATATGCCTGTATATTTATCAACCAATAAAAACAACACATATATAGAAGATATCCCACATCATAATCCATCCTACAGCATAGATACTTGCTCAACTATGTGTGTTATGGCTTTATTTTTTATAACAGTCCCATTCTTGAAACAACCTAAATACCCCTCAACAGAAGAATGGCTAAAGAAATTGTGGTATATCTACACAATGTAGGAGAACACAGTGTTTAAAAAAATGAAGTCTACAGGCAAATAAATGGAACTAGAAATTAAAATTATCTCAGTGAGGTAACTCAGACCCAGAAAAAAATATAGTATGTATTCAGTTATAAGTATATATTATCTTTTAAGTAATGATAATCAAGCTATAATCTCCCGACCCAGAGAAGTTAGGTGAAGAAGGTGGCTCTAAGATAAAAGCATGGATCTCCCTGGTAGGGAGAAATAGCATAGATTCTGAGGGTGGGCTGGGGGGAGGTGAGAAGAGGAGCTGGAAGGATCAGGTGGGGGACATTGAGGGAGTGGTTATGGGGAGGTGCAGATGGAGTTTGAGGATATTTGAGGGTGTGTGTGGAAACAGTTCAGTGTGCTCCTCATGGAATCTCTGAGGGTGATCCTAGTGATAACTCTTAGTAGTGAAGGATGTGGAGTCTGAACTGACCATCTTTTGTAGCCAGGCAAGGCTTCCAGTGGTAGGACTGGCTTACATTTTTTTTTTTTTTGGATTGTTGGCAGAGATCTAGCAGAGATCCCAGGCTGATGCCTAAGATAGCAGATTGTAGGATGATGCTAGGAATAAAGTTCACCCTCTGAAAATTAACAGCAGAACTCCATTGCTGAGGCCAACTACCACTTGGCTTTTTGAGTTTAGAGACGTTGAGCTGGTGTGGGCTTGGAGGCTTTACCCCTATATTCTAATCTCTTTGATGTGAAAAGGTACTCTGCAGGCTATGCAAAGAAAAACCTGGAAGCCAACTCAGCCACAAAAGCCCCCACCTATAATCTCTCCCACCTGTATGATCTTCTGGAGCAGTGGCAGCACAGATCATGTGGGAGTGTCTAAGCAATGTGTGATTTAATGTGAAGCCTATGACAGGAAGGGAAGCCCGAGCCTTATACTGCCAGGATGGCCAGGAACCAACACTGGATAATTCAGTGACCTAAGGTTGAGTCAAAAACAACTGGAAAAAAAAATCAATGTAAAGACTACTAATGATATTCTCCAATATTTATAGATCAGTACCTTCATCAGATAGGCTTCCTCCAGCAGTAAATAGGAGTGCCCAATTCAGATGTTTTAGTTTTTGTCTTATTTTATTATAGTTTATTTTATTTTTATTACTTAGAAGCTTGTTTATTTTCTGAGAGGCAGAAAGTGAGAAGATCTTACGGAAGAGGAGGTGGGAGCAACTGGAAGAAGTAGAGGGAGGGGAAATGTAATCAGGATACATTGTTTGGGGGAAAATACTATTTTTAATAAAATAAAAAATAAAATTCCTAAAACAAAAATAAAGCAGCTTATTGTGTATAATAAGCATAATGATATCTTCCTCATATTATCTTACATGTTTAATTGAGTTTTAAATAATAGTAGCTAGAAAAATATTGCTAATTTCTATTTTTAATCAGGAAAAATAATTTAAATAAAATACACCTATCTTACACTGCATTATGAATGTTTATGTGAAATGGGAAATAGCCATTTCCCTAGGACTATTTCATTTGACTTAAAGATTTAAAGATGTCTTAGGAATTGAGGTGTCATTTTCATACACTCAATGAAGCCTTGGGTTCAATACTAGATAGGGGAAAAGAACTTTCAACAGGATTCTTATAAATGGGAGGACAGTTTAAGTAACATTTCATAAATCAACATTGTTTGTTTCTTACAATTGTTCAAATACAATTGCTAAAAGTGGCATTTGTTTGGAACCAATTTTTGTGAAGTTAACTTTAATGATAAAAAGAAGAATCTGCACTAGAAATTTATGTCTTCTTGTTAAAGGAATTGCATACAGTCTGAAACTCAAATAGAATTATAAGCTTGGCCAAGGAAACATTTCATATAAATACTGAATTGTCACACAATGGGTTTATATAGCACCAGCAAGTAAGTAAAAATTCACTTTCTTTGAATTTTGTAAGATTGTGTATATGACCCTTATTCATACTCAGGCAATATGAAAATTTCCTTATGACTTTAAACAATATTGTTGTATTAGCTTCCATCACAGAGATGTTGATTAAGATAGCTATAGAGTGGCCATGCATGGATAATATGTTGAAATACATTTGTATTAGAAATTAAAATGTAAAGGCATTTGAGCATTAAAAATAACTAAATGGGCCAGATTCTTGGGCACAGCATACTTTGGTTGCAAATACTGAGAAATCAGTTTAAAATTGACCAAGACACTATATATAATAGCTGACTTTCAAAGTATTGGAAAGTGCTGTGCAAGCTACTCTAGGAGAAAAGGCATCAGTGGTCTTTCCCAGCACTAGACTCAGCATGATATAATACTGAGGTATCAGGCAAGCAGTATCCAATGGTGAAATAATGCTGTGATAATCATGGGGAAAACTAACTACTGCTCCAGAGGAGAGTTTGTGTCTGGTACTTTAAACTTTGTCCAAAGATCATGAATGGGTATCCCATAGACCTTAGGGGAAGAAACTAGTGGTGTTCTTTTCTTAGGTGGTCATACTGTCAACATATCCTATTATCTACTTCTAAGCATAAATTTGTGTTGGTCTCAACTTTGGTCAAAGAAGCTCTTTTTACAGTAGGTAGTAGCTCATTCACAGACTTTTGACTTGTCAAAGTTCTGGTGACTGAGTGCTCATATGTGAAGGGATCAGCGGTAATAGCCTTTCCTTTGTAGAAG